GGCTAAAGTTTCGCCGGAACGAATTTACGGAAAATTAACTAACGAACGGAGACGTAACAGCAATGTTTAATTCATCTTAGATGTATGTCATATTGGCAAAACTTGTATGAAATTGCTTTATTGGCATAAAACGTAATAGAAATATAGATGACAATGAAATATTTTGGTGGTATATTTCAAGATTAATTAACATACAAAGAAAAAATGATCTATCTTTTACAAATAAACTTCACATACATAACTTGAATTTATATTACCAGAACAAAAGATGAAGTTAAGCTATTACACAAGTCTGGAGTTCATCGTAGGCAATGCACTAATGTGTCTTTACAAGGATTTAAAATTAAAATAATTTGAAGGAGTAGAAGGAACAACAGAATTCTGTTATATTTTGACCGAGTCTTTGTTATTAATAATTCTCAATCCCTTTTCCTTTTATGAAAGAGTATACTGCAGCGCTATGAAAATGTAAGCTCTAATGAAGGCTAGAAGCTCAAACATTAGTTAATAATGAAATATTCTGGATCTATTTTTGGGTTGTTTTATTATGAGCCAAATGCTCCTATTAGCACTTCATCTGTTAAGAAATTATCTGAATGGACTAAAAAAATTCAATAGAAATCTAAAAGAAAGACTACAACCAGGACCTTTTCGTCATTCAGAGAAATTTTTCAGTGATTTTGCTGAATCATTCAGACTAAGTTACTTAATCATATACAAATTCCATTAAGACCATGCAAACGTGTATTTTTTCTATGGTTGAATGATTAGGCTTTAACAACAATTCATCTCTCCTTCAGAATTCAAGACTATTTTAGTTCAGAATGAAGTGTACGAAAACATCTAACTATACACCACAAGATACTGTCTTTTTGTCATGTGATAGAAAGAAATGCCTGAAGCACGTGATCTTGAAATTTGCTTAACAATAGAAGGTATGCTTATAATATTAATGAAATGTCCAATCATGACTATATAGTTGTACCTTAAGTTTGTACCGAACATAATAGAAACATAACAGTGTATACTGCTGGTTTTGCTTACAATTTAAGAAACAATAAATAATTGTGTTCCAACCACACAATTGTGAATTGTCACGTGCTAATAATATTGTTGCGTCATCGAGGTCACGTGACTGTTGTGGCGCCACCTATTTTCTAGAACTATCCTGTACCTTGGCGAATGCTCTAGTATTTACTAGATGTAGGGTAGCCTGGTATATAAAAGAGGGTGACAACGTGACGGGAATGAATAATGTGTGTGTAGATAGTGAGTAATTGAACTGCAGTCACAGGGTATTGTTGAAGTTAACGTTCGTTCGTTACAGTGTTTG